TCATCTTCGTATACTGTAGATTCCGTAAGGGTGAGTTTATAAGGGAAAGTGAGGGGATAAGCAAACATTTATGTGTATGCAGCAAAAGTATTGTAGCCAACACTTGTATTAACATGACCAACACATTATTACAGTCACACACAGATGAAGTAGTTAGCATGTTGTATTTGCTTTGGAAATTCACTAGACACAATCTTTTTACCTTAGAAAATTGGTACCAAAGTGAAAATGTATGATAAATGAGCATCCCTTCTGTTAATGACCTCAAACTTACCACTCCTGCTTTTGTTTCTTTACAATGTGCGACATTAATGTAGATAGTGGACTATACACATCAACATCCCGTTTTAATGTCTATCCCGTATTTGGTACCACCACATTTGATGATATCACCACTTTATGTTGAAAAGTCATTCACAAATGGCATACCATTTCCTCATTGTCAACCGTGTGATGCTATTTTCCAAATATTCTTGTCTTTTTCAATTCCTAGCTTGTTGGAAGAAGTCACACAAATCAACGTATTATCACACAAATCAAACCAATCCTTGTATTGAAAAATTGAACTTGTAAAACCATGGACTTGTTAATCAATAATCATTCTTAATCCTTTATGCCTTCAAATTTTGATGTTCCTTTTTCTCTTGATGACTAGAAAGGGTGTTCTGTGATAAGAGATGATCATGGATTTTAAATCAATCATGATTTGTTTTGGACTTTAATCTTATGAGTTCCTAATTTGACATAGGGCTTGAAATAAACATGGGGCCTTAGATTTGTGAACTTAAATTGATGATTTTGAGCCATCTTCGAACTTAAAAAGTAATGGAACCTTTGTACTGCTTGAATTGCAATCCGGATGAACAAATCAAAGCATATTGCTCATAAGCTTCCCTTAAGACCTAAGGGAATAAAAAAAAAGATGATCCAATCCTTCTAGATAGAAATAAGACCTTCCTCGGATTAACCTTGAATGATGTACTAGAAGCTGGGGAAACTAAAGCTCAATATTGATTTTAAAGAGACAAGGTCACAAAAGCATCTATGATTTCCTCAAAGTATCTATTGGTCAAGCCTTAAATAGCCTGGCTGAGAGAATTAGTATCATCTGTACTAAAAAATAATGTACCTGTATAAGCTTGTTAGCTATAATAAACATGCATAAAGACATGCAATAAGTGAAGTCTTAGGATCAAAAATATAGGTGCGACTGATGCCCCTATTTAAGTTTATTCTATCCGAAAATATGAAGATTGAAATCTTCATCTCGATGAGATAGGAGAAACTTAAATACAAACATGCACAATTTTTGGACCTAAGATGCCACCAGATGTATATGATATGCAATGATATGAAATGCAAGACGGAGATCTTATGGAGAACCGATACCACAAGGGATAACTATATAGGAGACATGAGACACAAATAAGGGAAGGGGATACCCGACGAAGACGACCTAGTAAAACAGGACTATACGGGAAAAGATCTGACTCCACCAGAGGATAGATTACCCATCGATAATCGCAAGGTAATTTTGAATATATTGTGAAGAACTTGTGGCAAATTCCACCTGAAGAACCTATTGTTGAGGTCAAATGTAGTGATTTCAAGAGATATTAGCTAGAGGAGTCTACTGTTAAGACTTGGAAATAGAGAACCACCTTCTGTTGAGGTCTACTGGGTATCTACTTCTGCTGAAGTCTTTTAGAAATCTACTGCCGAGACTTGCCAGGAAATGGAAAGAAATACCTTCTGCAGAGGTCTTCTAGTAGTCTTCTATCGAGACTTGCCAAGAAATGGAAAGAAATACCTTCGGCCGAGGTCTTCTGGTAGTCTTCTATCGAGACTTTTCCAGGAAAAGAGATACTTTCTGCCGAAGTTCTTCTAGTAGTCTTCTGTCGAGACTTTTCCAGGAAAAGAGATACTTTCTGCCGAAGTTCTCTTTAAGAATTCTATTTTAAACTCCATCAGAGAATCTACTACTGACATTAACCAAGGAATCTGAAACAAAGACAGTCTTAAAATAACTTGTCCATAATGATAATAAACCTCCTCACGCTTCAAGGTTGTATGTCTTGAACGCGTCTTAGATTCTTCTTTAATCAAGTCTTCTACTTGAAAAGGGTAAAATAAACCTCCCCACGCTTCAAGGTTGTATGTCGTGAACGAGTCTCAGTTTCTTCCTGGAATGGTGAATACTTATAGGAAAGTATCTTCATATGGGATTGGAGTTTCACTAGATATTTATGACTTCAGCGGGAATCCATAACTTAGCTGGGGATTAAGAAATCTCACCAGGGACCTTTGGAAGAGATGCAGGCCGATCAATTTATAAAATATGTCTTCTCCAATAAAGAGAAAGATCAACTGTAATAATCTTTATCAAACTTCTCAGAAAAGATGCCATTTAATGGAAGTAAGTTGAATAGTGGACTCGCTGGGGAAAACATCACTGAGGAGAAGCATTGTTGTAGTTTGAAGTTGCATTGAAGCAAATAAAGTCCTTGTATCAAGAATTCTCAAATAAAGAAAAACACTTATAAAGTCTTCACCAATCTTCTATGATGGATTTCCAAAGAGATGCCATTCGATGGAGGATAAGTTGATAATCTTGACAGGCTCACTAGGGATAGACAAACCGTCTTAAGGTGACTGCCATTTGTCATCCAAATATAAAATATGGGATCAAAACAAGCTGCTCAAATAAAGAGCCGCACTTGTTGTCTGGGTATAAATTGCTGAGAAAATGTTGTAACACTGCTGGAGAAATAATTTGTCTCCAATAGATTCTTCCTGAGGAGTCTAAGTGCAAAATAAATGCACACTCATCCTGGGCTCAAAAGCCTAGAGATATCCAAAATGTGATTGTCAGGGACCAAAGTTCAATTCAGGAAATAACTGAAGTGAAACGGTCAAGTAAGACTTTACCCATTGAGGAATAAACTCGAATAAGAAAGAAAACTAAAGCAACCATCTTCCACGAGAATCGAACTCAGTGGAAAATTTAGAAATGTTGCGCTTTTTTTGCCTAGGGCTAACGACTCTACTTGGAGGGAAAAGACAAACCCAGACACTTGGGAATAAACACAGCCAAAGTGAAAGAACAAACAAACACAAAGATGCAAAATGCATAGATGCCATGTATCTATATGCTGTGATTATGCTGACAAAACAAACAATGGGGAGACGAAAATTGGGGATGAAATAAACATCTCGAAACCGACATCCGACCAATCTTCAAAGATAGAAGCACTATTGGGGATAGATGGAGAACTAAATATGGGATCACAGTCCTGCTTCAAGTTTTAAAAAAACTACTTATGAGGAGTTAGAAAAATCCACTTGGGGATATAACATCTTGATTTTTCTTGAAGGATTTGTCAAGATGAATCCGGTTACTCTGCTGAAGATGAGAATAAAGATCTACTGAGAGCAGATCAAGCTCATGATTGTAGAAACTTCATGGATAAATATCTGCTTCACTGGAGAGACTCTTACTAGAGTTGTAGATGGAGATACCCGAACCGAGGTCTTACAAGGGATAAAATAAATATCCACTTCAATGGGGAAGATGACTCAATGTAGCCGTTGAATCAAAATTTCATGGGGATGAAATAAACATCTGTTTCGCTGGGAAAGATCAACGTTGTAAGAAATCCATTGAGGAGTAAAATAACATCCACTTCATTGGGAAGGTGAAGTCAATGATAAAAACATAACAAATGTCATTTGAATTCCTATAGCTACATACTTTTTTAAATAACATGTTTTGGAAAGAAGAAAAAAAACAATATAAAAGTGTTGTCTTTTAAAATATAAATATGGTTTGACATATTTTTTATAGAGAATTCTTTTAGGGGAAACACTCTGATACCTAAAATTTAGTTGAGTACTGATACCCTCATCCACTCAACTTGGATCGATAAATAACATGTGTGAATTTAAAATTTTAACGATTGAGAATAAAAATTAACTCCTATCTGTGAAATTATAATTACTCAATTCAAAATAAATCATGGTGGTCCATATATCTTCGTCTTCCTTATCCCCCTCTGTCTGCTTTCTCGTTAACTCATTGTAAATTTTATTTGAAACTATTGCTATTAAAGGTTTGAAAAGAAAGATTGAAAAAAAGATTTTTGTTGGAAAAATTGCAGTCTTTTTGAAAAGACTGTTTTCATAAATTGCATAACATTTTGGAGAAAACTGATCTCAAAGATTCTTTTGAGAAAATTGCAAAGTGCTTTTTGAAAAAGATTTAGAATTTTAATATTTATGAAAGACTTAATAAATTTGAATTATTAAATTTTAATATATTTTAAATATAAATTTTATTAATAATTTAGAAATACTTTTTTTATATTATTTTACATTTATCAACTATTAGAATCACTAATTTTAACAAACACTTCAATTAATTTATTATCTATCATTTATCGACCATCATCTATAAATCAATGCTATCAACCATCAACCATAAAGTATTAACTATTAGTTAACTTATCGATTAAATGTTATTTTTATCAAACAAAACCTGTCTGAATGCCTATTATTTTAATTAAAATTATATTAAAAAATCACATCAATTAAAAGCTCCAAATAACAACTACTTTATTATTTTTACATTTTATGATTTATTCATTTTTAACATAAATCCAAACACATATATCATGTAGTTTTTTCTACTTGGATCATAATAGATTAAGTAGTCGTAGAGTTCATCCAAAAGTATAACCCATTGTTATAGGATTTTTTTGGATTCTATTGCGATAAGGAAACCATATAAAACAAAAAGGAACCATTTTTCTCACTGGTTCAAACAAAACTACAAACAGTGGAACTTCATCCCCTTTTTCTACTCGTCTTATCTACAGACACGCGTCACACCATGCTATTCACACACAAAACGTCGTCGTTTCCCCCTGATTTTCATTTTTCCTCATTTCTCTATTCAAACCTCAAACTTCACTTCACAGCTCATAGTTCAGACGGAAACGATAATGGTGGTTTTTGGCGGGAAAAAGCTGAACCAAATTGTCACCGGATTCGGCGGCAGCGGCCTTGGCCAGATAGTCGCCGCCGTCGCTGTATCCTTCCTTGTTCGAATCTTCTCCGCTCCCAGTCCCGCTCTGTTGCCGGAGAACGATGACGACGACGTTGTTCCGAGTAACGATTCCCCCGACGGTGAAACTCATACTCCCTCCGGAAAGGTCACGCCGGTTACGATTCGCTGGAATAATATTAATTGTTCGCTATCTGATAAATCCTCCAAGTCCGTGAGTTTCTGTTCATTCACTTTCTCTTTTTACGCCTTCACTTCATGAAATATGAAATACTGCTTAAAATATAGTAGCGTGAAGAAAAGTCATTGTAATAGCTTTGGATAGTTGCTTTATCGTTACATGCATATGATATTATCTTGCAACTTATGGAGAATTTAATTTATTTTTTTCTAAGTTTGAATTTGGTAATGGTGGAGATTTGATGTGAATTGTGAAATGAATAGGTGAGGTTTTTGCTTAAAAATGTGAGCGGAGAAGCAAAACCAGGAAAATTATTAGCCATAATGGGGCCTTCAGGTTCAGGGAAGACAACATTGCTCAATGTGCTTGCCGGTCAGCTCGCAGCTTCGCCTCGGCTTCATTTGAGTGGCCTTTTGGAGTTCAATGGAAAACCTAGTTCTAGGAATAGTTACAAGTATGTTTGTGCTGTTGTTTTATAGGAATTTGTTGTGATTTTCTTGATATAGTTCTTTTAAGTTCTGTTTGAAGATCTATTGAAATGCCGGTTTGCTGCAGGTTTGCATACGTGAGACAGGAGGATCTCTTCTTTTCACAGCTTACTGTGAGGGAAACATTGTCTCTTGCTATAGAGCTACAGCTTCCCAACATATCTTCTGTTGAAGAGAGGGATGAATATGTCAACAAACTCTTATTCAAGCTAGGCTTGGTGAGTTTTTTCATATCGTGTAATTTGTTTCAGCGGCAAAGTAGTTGCTGGTTATATATTGGAATGTAGGAACAGTTATTAAATAGATTTTTTCAACAAACCTTTAGTACCTTCCTTGAAGATTAAATTTCGGTTCATCTATTATGATTGACTACTAGTACTAATGTTATATTTGTTTACACCTTCCATATTTGGATGCTTGCCCACCATTCTTACAAGTTCAAAAAATAAAAACCACTATCAAAATTACTTGTGTAATTATTTTTAGCTTTCCTAATTTAGATTTGTGATTGACAATATGTTAGTCTCATTGGATAGTCATATGTTAATGATTTTACTTCCCTTTGGCATCTATGTTCTTTTTCTTCAAAAGGTCAGTTGTGCTGATACTAATGTTGGTGATGCCAAAGTCCGTGGAATAAGTGGTGGTGAAAAGAAACGTTTATCCTTGGCATGTGAACTGCTTGCAAGCCCATCTGTTATTTTTGCTGATGAACCCACAACAGGTAAGCGTGCATTTGTAGAATTGCTTTGCAGGGGATTTGAACTTTACTTATGATATATTGGATGCACATGGCTGGTATAACAGTATTACAACTTTGCACACAAAGCAAATACCTCTTATACATTCTTAAAATAAAAACAAAGATGTAATTAGTAAGAAATTTAATATGCATGTTTGGTTTCAAATACATTTTGGCCATTTATTACTCTGATACTTGTGGTGCAAGAATTTCAATTTGAATATGCTACATTGTTTGTACCTGTCTGTACCTCCAATGCTAATATAGAAAATAAAAGAAAAGAATGATTTTATCTCTTAACGAAAAATGAACCAAATAATGGGAAATATATATCCAATGGTTTTCTATTTCACAATTGAGCGCTTGCATAGTCCTTTGAATGGTCCGACTTTTACCCTCTTCATATTTGTTTATCTATGGACAGAATGTCAGAAAACTCCACTGTGGTTCCAAACTCAATAGCTCATCTTCTCAAACTTATATGACTCTACATATTGACTCCTTACAAAGGGGTTTTTCCTGCATGCCCAACGGGTTGATTTTACTCTAAGATTGCACCATTTGATTTATTCAGGGAGTCAATTTTTGGGGCTGAATCACAACGTATCATTCTAATACTGACCTATACTTGTACGGGGCTTCTTGTGTATTAGCCTATCTAATGTAATAATATATGCACTGGTAGAACTTTGTTTCTTCCTATGATGATTTTTTCTTGTAAAAATTGTGTTTTCTTTTATTAATTGTTCATGCATTAATGGGTTCTTTTTGCCATTAGCTGCTTCCGTGTGTGCTCATTTTTCACAGAATTATATCATTTCCTATCCACTTATTTTGTTTTAAAGTTACTTTTAGGACTCGATGCCTTCCAGGCTGAGAAAGTTATGGAAACTCTCCGACAACTTGCACTCGATGGTCATACTGTAATATGCTCTATACATCAGCCAAGAGGTTCCGTGTATAGCAAATTCGATGACATTGTCTTGCTAACTGAGGGTTCACTTGTTTATGCCGGTCCTGCCCGCGATGAACCGTTGACGTACTTCTCAAAATTTGGGTAATTGCCTTAACCTTACTTAAATTTTGCCGTCATACATTCTTACACCAGAAATCTTCTCAATTACTGTAGGGCTTAAGATATTGTGGCCCTATTAACTTCATATACTATTAAATAGCCTATTTCATCGATTTCTTTATTACTAGTTGATAACACACTTTTATGTCTATTATTGAGAATATTTCTTTGAAACAGTTAACTTTTATAAAAGCCAAGAAATCTAGACTATAGAAGCTTGTCAGAACATCAAATGTAATGTTTACAATTGGAATTTCTTCCTTCATTGCAGTACATCCATACCCGCTAATTGCAGCATCATTTGGGTTGCATTCCATGCAGCCTCCAACACCTTCATTGTGTTGGGTGTGAAGGGATGAATTTAGTCCCACGTTGCCTAGCGATATGGCTTATGTAAATGTTTATAAAACTTGGGCAACCCTCACCTTACTAGCCGGTTAAGGATGAGTTAAGTCCAATATAAAAACTAAGAAGATCTTATTAGAGCCTATCCGAGATCTGTTGCCGGGCTTCTTGTATTGTCCACGCTTCAGGCTCATTGGGGTCTAAGAGTGAGTGTGTGTTGGAAATTCCGCCTTCATTGCGGTCTACCCGTAGCTGCATAATTGCGGCACTGGGGTTGCTTTCATTGCAATATTCAACACTTTCATTGTGTTGAGTGTGAAGGAGGGGATTTCGTCCCGCATTACCTAGAGACATGGCATATGTAGTGTTAATAAAATTTGGGCACCCTCACCTTACAAGCTAATTTTGTAATGTTGAGTTAGGCTGAATCCATATTCTAAGATTCATATTCAAATTTGTGCTAACTTGGTAAGCAATTTTCGTGGTGTAACATGACACATCTCTTATTCTTACTTATTTGAGTATCCTTATCGATATGATACCTAGGCCTTTTTTTGTAGTCAAGCCACAATGAAGTTATGTAGTCTACAAGCCTAAAAAGAGCATAACTGAAAAATATTTCACACTAGTCTGATGTTTTTTTATTTGCTAATGATTCAAGTTGAGAATCCAAATGTATTTGTTCATTCCACCCAACCACATAAATCTTTCTCCATGCTGTTAGTTTATTGTTAATATCTTAATAAAGTTAAAAAAGTAAGGAGTAATAGATTGTAATGGCAATTTTGTTCAACATACAATTTGTATTTGACTTCTTGACTTTTAATTCTGAACAGCTGCTTGATAATTGTTGATGAAACAGGTACCACTGCCCAGATCATGTAAATCCTGCGGAATTTTTGGCTGATCTTATATCCATAGACTACAGTTCTTCTGACAGTGTCCGTTCTTCTAAAAAAAGGATCAATGGGCTTGTCGAGTCTCTCTCACAAAAATTACCCACAATAATATATGCAACTCCAGTTACTCTAGAGGACCTCTCAAAAAGTAGAAAGAGAATCAGCAAGAGGACTATAGCAAAAAGGAAAGGAGGATGGTGGAAGCAATTCTGGTTGCTTCTTAGACGGGCATGGATGCAGGTCTGGTTTTTTCTTTATCGTTTTTCTACTTATCAAATGGCTGAGCCTGGCTATATTGCATGATAGAACTTGTAAAGGTTTTCATTCCTTCCCATGAACCAATTTGATGTGTCTTAAAGAAAAACTTACAAGGCTTGATTGAGTTATATGGCAAGACATAATCACAAAAGTGATATTACTGTTTATTTTCATATCTTGTATTTTGTGAAGTAAAATTTATTTTCTGTGTAATAGCTTCAACCATATCGCCTATTTTCTTTATATTATTTTTCCCTGGTCACTAGATATAGCCTTATAATTTTGGAATGTTAAAAATGATGATTTATATCTTGCACTCAGTGTTAGGAGAATGAAACTTATTTCTCATATATTTGATCCACGATTCTCTGGCTTTTTAGGCTTCCCGCGATGCACCTACCAACAAAGTTCGGGCGAGGATGTCAATTGCATCAGCAGTTATCTTTGGTTCAGTTTTTTGGCGAATGGGAAAATCTCAGACTTCAATACAAGACAGAATGGGATTACTTCAGGTTTGTGATGTTCTTGATTCATGCAAGCTTATTTCTCCCAGGCCTGCTGCTAATAAGCTTTGCAGAACAACTTTAAACTGTTTATGCTATATACATTCAATTTTTAGTCTACTACGATTGTAGAAAATAATATCTATATGCAAACTCATATATTATGGTTGTTTTGGAATAGTGGAATTTATCATGCTCATTGAATTGTTCTACAATGTGCCATTCTATAGGTCATCTTCAGATACCATGCATTCTGGCTTTCTTATAGTATTAGGAATTTTCTCTTATTAACCTATAGTAAAACAGAAAATAATCAAATGTCATGTGGACCTCCAATTAACTGTGCTGGGATAGTGTTGTCCTAATCTAGTAGACTTGACTACTTGAGTTCCATCTTTTTTGTAATTATCTCAACAACCTTTTTGAAATGCTTTAAACTCAAAATTCTAAAGAATCTTGTTATTATACTATTAAAATGACAGTTTCACCTGGCTAAGTTTGCCTTCCTGAATTACAAGAATGGCATTAACAGGTTGCTGCAATAAACACAGCTATGGCTGCTCTCACAAAGACTGGAGGTGTGTTTCCAAAGGAACGGGCGATTGTTGATAGAGAACGTGCTAAAGGCTCCTACTCCTTGGGCCCATATCTGTTTTCTAAACTCTTGGCTGAGATTCCAATTGGAGCAGCATTTCCATTAATGTTCGGTGCTATTTTGTACCCAATGGCACGTCTCCATCCTACTTTGATGAGGTTGATTTTTTTTGCCAGTCTGAGTCAGATATATAGTTTGAGTCAGTTCTCAATTTCTTTTCATTTTATTTTTTGGGCAGTAGATTGAATTTTTCCATATTGCTTCGTACAATTAGGTGCAAGAAAGGTGCACAGTTTTTTCTTGTCCGCATTTTCCATAAATGCCATTATGTTTTTTTAAGTAGAGTAATGTCATTGTTTCATTTCCAAAGATTATATATATTATTCAAAATCCCAAAGGCAGGGGATGAAGAAGCGTTCTGTATAAGCAGAAATAATGTATATAGGTGATGAATAAGCGTTCTGTATAAGCAGAAATAACAAATTAAAGATTTTTTATCTTTCTCTTGAACTTAGTTGTCATCAGTATAAAAGAACCAAAAAAGAAAAATACAAGGGAAAAGAAGTTCATTCTCTATGTCGCTCTCCCTTCACTCACATCTGCTTTTTGTCGTTTTTGGCATGAGGGTTTTATTCTAGTTGATTATTTCCATCTCACTATAACTAAATTTTTTGACATTTTAGATTTGGGAAATTTTGTGGAATCGTTACTGCCGAGTCTTTTGCTGCATCTGCGATGGGTCTTACTGTTGGTGCTATGGTTCCAACTACTGAAGCAGCAATGGCAGTAGGCCCCTCTCTTATGACAGTTTTTATAGTATTTGGTGGCTACTATGTTAACCCTGAGAATACCCCGATTATCTTCCGCTGGATTCCTAGTGTTTCTCTGATAAGATGGTAAGCACAATTCTGATTTATTAGCAATCAATGGGATTTAACTTGACATAACATTATTGAATCGAAGTGCCATGCATCATTTGAAATTTTAATATACGTTTCTTAGACTCATACTAATGAATACCGAATTAATTTATGCACACTTTCAGGGCCTTTCAAGGACTTTGCATCAATGAATTTCGTGGTCTTCAATTTGATCACCAGCATTCATTTGATATTCAAACTGGAGAACAGGTGAGGGTAGAGCCTGGATCTTTTAATTTCAACTGGAACTAAAATTATGTTTGATAAAACTATGTAAATGCTGACATATATTTTGATCAATATTATTAATTGGGCATGCTTTCTTGAATGCTGATCCATTTCACTTATCTCTTTCTCTCTCTTTCACAGGCACTAGAGCGTCTTTCCTTTGGAAAAACTACAATTAGGGAAACGCTGGCAGCGCAAAATAGAATATTGTTATTTTGGTATTGCACCACCTACCTTCTCCTTGAGAAAAACAAGCCCAAATACCAGCAACTTGAAACAACCCCTTCTGACCACGACAAGCCGCATTTAAAACTCGAGGAGTTCAATTCTGAACAGGCTGATCTGACATATGAAGCACCAGAGGTCAGCCAAGTTGGTTCCGACAAGCCCCTCGAGTCACCTGAAGTAGACCCTGTCGGCTCTTTTATCTTAGAAGGTTTGTAATCAGCTGGGCTACTGCTGTTCTTATCAGACATTCATCTATTTATTAATTTATCTAATACAGGTGCTCAGTAGAGTGATATCTCTGCAATGGATGACCTTCAGTTACTGGGATGCCGTTTCCTATAGAACAACAAGACCACAATCACTGATATCCATGATGTCATTATTGGACATCCGAAACACCAGCTTATGTTCACAGATTCTTACTCCTATCCAGCTGTAATAATAAACAGTGACAGTGGATGATTTTTAGCAGTTTCATGTTTGGTTCATTTAATTAAAACGACAATTTTTTCATTAAGTGAATAGAACATGTTGAAATTGTCCATGCAATGGATTTTTTTTTAATTATGAATAGTGCTATAACCAATGATGTATGAAAATTGAGGCTACCAGAAGGTTTATTTTTTTTTATGACCCTGGTTTAATATTGACCTAGTGGACAGTAACGTTCTAGAATTTGCTATTTCTTGCCCAATATTGGAGCTAAGTCATCTGTTGTGGTTAGTAATAGAGTTACAAGGTCACCCTTTTGAATTTATAATTTATTTCTTTTTTCAATTTGTTTACTTTAGTCGACTAATTTATTTCTTATTTCAATTTGTTTACTTTAGTCGACTAATTTATTTCTTTTTTCAATTTGTTTACTAATCGATCATTCGTTGCGATATGTTCTTCTAGTAATTGCTGAAATACATTTCTTTAATAAAAAATGACATGTTAAATAAGTTAAGCAAGGCTACTAATCATCATTTGACGCATTACCATTGTTTTTATAATGCATTGTAGCGTTTAATAAATTAATTTGTCTTCCATAGTTCCATTATACTACTATGGTTGAATTGGTAATGTGAATGATGATATCAGTGATTAGATAGGAAACAAATCCGACGTCGAAAGATAAGAAGGTTCTTGCTTAGCGTAAGGACTATTCAATTTAACCAACACGCCACCTCCAAATATATGGTGTGACGTAATCCCCAATCTCTCTTTCTTGGAATTAGGCTCTATTTTACGCATAAACTTCCACTCCACCGTCTTCAAAAAGTTGCAATAATTGAACCCGCAACAGCAAAACACGCACAATATGTCTTATTGAGATGGCAAAATCTTATATATTCCACAATACCTTCCAAACACAAATTGCAACCTTTAAGCTTTTTCAGCAAAATGCAAACAACATCTCTTGTGCTATTACCAATCCCTCCACCATGCAATATAATACGCAGAAGCGCGCCATTCAAGAGTTTTATCTCAGCTTCAAAGAGAGACTCATTTGGCCACCATTACGATGGCAAGATGGTGGATGAAAACATGATCATTCTTAGAATGCGAATCCGCGAGATCGAGATGCTTGAAAACAAGTCCAAACCTCCTTCTCATTGGACAGAATGGGAGAAGAAGTATGTTGAGGATTATGGTTCGGATGTATGTGATGGAGTTGGATCGTTGCAAAGAATGTTGATGAACACTAGACCTGGCTTGGTTGTGGGAATATTAGCTATGATCATGCTAAGCATGTCAATGTCCATGTCACTCCTTGTGTTTCAACTGATGGAGTTGGGTAATGCCTCAATGCTAGCTTTTTCATCAGTCTAGATTTTATTTCACTAATTCCATGTATGAATTACGCTAAAAGAAAATTTTCTTGTTTTTTTACTTAAGTTTTCATAACATTTTGTGTATTGTAATTTTATAACATTTTATAAAAATATTTTCCCAAAGTATTTGTAAGTAAATATATTTGTATTTTTTATAAATTATAAAGTAATTATAAAAACTAATTTATTAAAATTGGACCTGTTTTAATAATTTCGATGTTGTAGTTCAGAGTTGAATTCAAATATAAAACCTTAAGATAAATTAAAGGAGGCTCGAACACTTTTAGATCGTCATATGAAGAAATATGTTCATGTAAAATATGATTTTACAATATATTTTAAAGTTATAATAAAGGGCTTAATTAATTCTAAGATCTCTAATTTAATTTAAGGTTTTGTATTGGTTCCTCGCGGAATAAATATTACCTTTAGCTCCTTCAAAAACATCTTAATCAATTTTGTCCATTCTATTATTATTTTTTAACATTTTTTAACACACCCTAAATATTTTTTAGACAAAAATACTCTTTCAAAAGATATATTTCCTAATACACTTTAATATATATATTTTATTTGTTTTTAAATCAGACCCCAATTTTATAAATAGATTTATTTTAAAAATATATTTCTAAAAATATATTTTTGGAATCACCTTTTAACATTTTTTAAAAGAGAACTTAATTATTTAATATTATATAATTGGGCTGTGCAAGAAATAACACTACTTTAACAGATTATAAATACTGTTGTGTAGCACTAACAATATATACTACTGTAGACATTCTGTCTTATTATGTAATACTATTGTAGACATTCATAATAATAATAATAATAATAATAATAATAATAATAATAATAATAATAATAGTAATAATAATAATAATAATAATAATAATAATAATAATAATAATAACTTCTTGTATTTTTTATTATTTGTTATATTTAAATATTTTTTATTATTTATCGAGTTCGGTATATTATTAATTCTAAATTAATAAAAAATATTTTAAGTTATTTACCATAAAAAAAAGAAAGAAATAAAAATAAAAAATAATTAAATTTACTATTGTATTATATTGTATTAATAAATTAAAAAAAACAATATGTATAAATAAACAGAAGGAATAATTAATAGACACAAATACTTTTTTCCAAAAAGAAATTATAGATATATATTTGTAAAGAATATTAAATAACTTTTCAATTCATGCTGATATTATCTGCTTCTTATGGTTTCTTAGTGCTATGCAATTATAGTAGTGTTATCTTTTACGCAACCCAATTATATGATATTACATAGTTAAGTCCTTTAAAAAAAAGTTAAAAATGTCTTTTTGAAAATATATTTTTGAAATAATTTTTTTTGTAAAATTGAAGTCTTATTAAAAAATAAATAAAATGTATGTATTAGGATGTATCCAAAAATATATTTTTAAAAATAAAAAATATTTTCAAAAACGCGAACAATATCTAAGAATCATTTGAGAATGTATTAAAAGATTGTTTTTTTAATACAAGGGGACCTAAGCCCCAAATAACATAAACTTAGTAAATTTAAGGTTATGTGTAGTGTACTGATAAAGACAGAGCTAATATAGAGGAAATGGTAATGTAAAAGCTGCTATTAAAAATCAATGCAACAGTACAACTTGAATAAGAAATATGGCTAAGCCATTTGCAGTAAGAGTAATACAATGAAAGAGAAAAGCATAGAAGCTTGGAGAGAGAAGAGAGTCAGGTTTCCACCACTAAAATTCCCCCCTGCTCATTGCCAATGATTCCTCTATTTAACAAAGTGCTTAGTGTATTTTCTGTTAGGGATCTTGGGTCTCAATCCACGTCTTGGCTGCTCACAATAGGGATCAATTGCCATCTGTCCTTTCTCATCATGAGATTTATTTACTGCAATGACTCTTTTGTCTCTCTCATTCATAACATTACCCTCCCCATTAAAGCTAACCTTGTCCTCAAGGTTACATTTTGGGTAATTGTTGGAAAATTCCTGCCAGTTTTTCCATGTTGCTTCAGAGGTAGATAAACCAGACCATTTCACCAAAACTTATGAAACTTCTTTACCATTTATCAGTAATTTCCTAGATTGTAGGATATCTTCTGGTTGTAGGATAGGTCCTGTTTCAGTGGTCAATAGAGGTAAGGGCATGTATTGAATCGAGTGATCTCCCTTGCATACTTTCAAATTGACAATGTGGAACACAGGATGAATCTTAGCCGAAGGCGGCAACAACAATTTATAAGCCACAGAGCCGACTTTCTGGATGACAGGAAAAGGACCAAAGTACCTAAGTCCCAATTTTTGATTCTGATGCAAAGCTATGGAATGTTGTCTATAGGGTTGAAGCTTGACCAACACCATATCACCCACTTGAAATTCTGCAAATCTTCTTTTTGAATCAGCATACTTCTTCGTTATCTGCTGAGCACGATGCAGATTGGTTTTAACAAGCTGTAAGGTTTGATCTCTTTCTGTTAACAAGGCTTGTAGAGATGGCGGTACAGCAACAACAGAGTCATACTTAATGAGAATCGGAGGGTCTCTATCATACACAACCTTAAATGGATTCATACCAATGCTGCATTGATAGGCAGTGTTGTACCAATATTCCGCCCAAACAAGTAATTTTGACCACTTTTGAGGAGATTGACCCACGAAACAGCGTAAATACATCTCGACACACTTGTTGACAACTTCTGTTTGTCCGTCCGATTGTGGGTGGTACGCCGAACTCATGGCTAAAGTGGTACCACTTAATTTAAAAAGATGTTTCCAAAAAGAGCTGGTGAACACCTTATCTCGATCCGACACAATGCTCTTGGGAAAGCGATGTAGCTTAACTACATTGTGTAGAAATGCTTCAGCCACCTTCAAACTAGTAAAGTCAGCTTTCAAAGGAGTGAAATGACCATACTTGAAAAGTCGATCAACAACTACCATGATGACAGTGAATCCATTAGAAGCCGACAGACCGATAATGAAATCCATGGAAATATCATCCCAAATCTGCAAGGGAATGGGTAATGGTTTTAATAACCCAGCAGGCGCAGCACTAGAAGACTTAGCTTGTTGACACACCAAGCATTGTGACACAAATAGTCTCACATCACGAGAGAGAGAGATGGCCATGTGAACTGCGACGCAATCCTAGCCTTGGTACGGGCAATACCAGCATGTCCCCCTAACAAGGAAGAATGAAACTCTTGTAAAATTGATTGAATAATGTGAGGAACCTGAGGCACTACAATCTTGTTGTTCCAGTATAAAATATCATGTTTGACTTGGTACAAAGGATCAACACAAGAACCCTGTAAACATTGAAGTTTCACTTGAGCTAAAGAATTGTCAGAGTTGACAGCAGCAGTAATGGTGGTCAAAAGTGAATTGACAGGACCTGAGGTCGCCATAAAGAAGGAACGAGACAGTGCATCAGCTGCCACATTATCTTTACCTGGCTTATATTCGACAGTAAAGTCAAACCCCAAGAATTTATGTAACCATTTCTGTTGTTCCGGGGTCTGAATGGTCTGATCCGTCAAAGCCTTGAGACTTTGTTGGTCAGTGCAGATGATGAATTTGTGGCCCAAAATATAGTGTCAAAACTTTGCCATGGCTTCGGTCACTGCATATAATTCCCTCACATATGCCGATTTATGTTGCATAGAAGTACTGAGCTTCTTAGAAAAATAAGCAATGGGGTGCTTGTCCTGACTAAGAATACCCCAAATACCCGTACCAGATGCATCAGTTTCTAAAATAAAAGGTTTTGAAAAATCTAGTAGTGCTAAAACTGGTGCGACAGTGATTGCATTTTGAAGAGCTAAAAAGGCCTCAGTAGCTATAGGACTCCACTCAAAGGAATCCTTTTTGAGAAGTGCTGTCAACGGTGTAGCTATGGAAGCATATTTGCAGATGAACCTTCTATAATAGCCGGATAAGCCTAAAAAACCTCAGAGTTGTTTAAGATTTTATGGAATCGGCCAGTCAAGGACAACCTTAACTTTATCCTTATCCATGTGCACGCCCTCATGAGAAATAGTATGGCCCAAATAATCCACCTCTGTGAAGCCAAAGCAACATTTAGACCTCTTGGCAAACAAGGTGTGATCGCGCAACAACTGTAATACTTCAGTCAAGTGAGTCAAATGAGTGGACCATGTAGGGCTGTATACCAAGATATCATCAAAGAAAACTAATACCGATTTTCGTAATTGAGCGTGAAATACATGATTCATGAGACTTTGGAACGATACTGGTGCGTTTGAGAGGCCAAACGGCATAACTAACCACTCATAGAGTCCTTGGTGAGTTCCGAACGCCGTTTTTTGGCGATCTTCCGGTTTGACTAGAATCTGGTGGTAACCGGAGCGCAGATCAAGCTTAGAGAAATAGGAAGCACCGTATAATTCGTCTAGTAATTCATCAACTGTAGGGATGGGGAAGCTGTCTTTAACAGTGATGGAATTTAAAACCCGATAGTCAGTACAAAATCGCCAAGACCCGTCTTTCTTTTTCACAAGTAACACAAGGGAGGAAAAAGGGCTAATGCTGGGTTGTATAATACCCTGAGTTAACATATCATTGACCATGGTTTCAATTTGTGCGTTTTGACTATGAGGATAGCGATAGGGCCTTACTTTCACAGGATTACTACCTTTCATCAATGTAATAGCATGGTCCTGGAACCTAGTAGGTGGCAAGGATTTTGGTTCCTCAAAGACATCCCCAAATTAGTGTAAAATAGCAGCTATATTAGTAGGTAAAATTGCTGGCAAGGCATTATCCTGAGGTACAACCTTATCAAACTGAAGGGTAAAAACAGTTTCAATAGCATCAGTATGGTGGAAACGTTTTATATGATGGAATTGGGCCTGAGTAGGACCCTTAGGTTGCTCCCCAAAAAGAGTCACAAAACTGTCCTTGACATAGAATTTTAACGACAACGCATTATAATCTACTATATGTGGTCCAAGGGTCTTTAGCCA